TGTGCTGATCAAAGTCAGGGCATGGGTAACTCACAGATAGAACCCTGAAATAACCTCTGTGCTGATCTAAGTCAGGGCATGGGTAACTCACAGATCAAACCCTGAAACAACCTCTGTGCTGATCAAAGTCAGGACATGGCTAACTCACAAATTAAATTGTTATTCAGTAGCTTGTTAGTTTTCGGAAGGAAGGAAACCGGAGAAAATCCTTGAAAATCCTTGACCCCAGAGGTGAGAGGAGAGCGCACCGTGGATTCCAATGTGTTCCACATACAAACCCATCCCCTCATCATATAGAGCACACGTAGATAAACCAGTTGTAATTTCCTTTACATTCTTTTAGTTGATGCTTTACTTGAGGTGTTTCTCTTGTTGTAGTGTATTTGAAGAGTTTGATGGACGTCTGGATAATGTCAAGACAAGAGTTCGTCTCGGATATCGAGGCGATACAAAGTGGACTGCGCCATTTATCTTCAAAACGCTCTGTAAAATCAATGTACAGAACTTTCCATTTGATCGGCAGCAGTGCAAACTGAAGTTTGGTTCTTGGCAGTACGACGTAAAGGAACTCGATCTGTTAGTACCTGAAAATGGAGGTCATTTAGATTCGAACAGGATCAAGAATGGAGAATGGGATGTCCTGAACGTTGAAGTACAAAGAAATGAGTTAGAGTATGGCTGTTGTCCTCCTGTGGTTTATCCTGATATCACCTTCATCCTAACGTTAAAAAGACGTTCTCTTTTTTACATGTTTAATCTGATCATTCCTAATTTTTTGATCGCGTTGCTTGCATTCTTCTCATTTTACATCCCGGTTGAATGCGGAGAGCGAATATCATTTGTTATGACTGTACTATTGAGCATGTTTGTGTTTCTTCTTTTGGTTGCTGAGAGTATTCCACCCACATCAGAAGCTGTTCCTACCATAGGTGTCTACTTTACCTCATCAATAGTACTAGTTGCACTTGCTCTTATCGCCACAGGTTTTGTCTTGAAGATTAACTACATGTATATTCAATTGCCATGTAGCACCATGTCACCGAAGTTAAGATGGCTCTTGTTTCAGAAGCTTGGTCCTGTCCTTGGGTTTCAAGATAGCACGCGCTTTGTAGTAAAGACCAAAAGCTCATCGGAGCTTTGTCCTAAACATCAGCTCCAACGAGATGACAGGATTACAGCCAACCATTCTACGAATGATGAACCTACTATTTATTACCAAAACGGTTCGAAAAAGGGCTCCAAAAGAAAAAAGATATCATGTAACGAATTGCCCAGTGGAAGTGATGAGGAAGGCAGTGTTAGCTTGGTCTTAAGCGAGATCTATCCAGATGTAGAGATAAGCTGCAGCCAGAGGAAATCAATTGGAAGTGATGTTCATGCTATAGCTACGGCTGTGTCATCGCATGAGCAAGACAACACAAAGAGTATGGAATGTCGACTTGCTGCAGCTATCGTTGATCGTGTTTTCATGATCATTTTTATTGTTGTGTTTCTCTTTTCAACTTTTGTCATTCTTTTTTTCCCGTATTTAAGCAGTGAGTAGCCTAACCAATCATATTGCAAGATTGATTTTTACCACAATAATCATTTTTTCGCTTTTCGCTTTCTGGTTCAATAATAATAACTTACCCTTTATTCAAACAGTCATCGAAGAGATATAGTGTTTTTASATATCATGCATAAAACGAAGAAAAGTCAAACTATAGGTATAGGAAATCGCACGATCACGAGTACAATTCGGAATTTATAGGTACGAGTGATGTTTTGATAGCTTTCAAAATTGGACGCTCAAGCTTTAAGGCGAGTCTAATTTGACTGAGGAACTTTCAAAACATCACGAGTATCTCTACCAATTCCGAGTCGTACAAGAAGATCGTTCGTTTTATTGTTGTAATACACTCAGCCAAAAAAAAAATTTTTCCAATCTTATTTTATTATTTTTTTAGAAGGCCCAGTGTAAGATTAGCTTTGCTAAACTGGTGTATTTTTGTAAATGCTTTCTTAAAAGTTTACTTACTTACTTACTTTACTTAATTAGTACTCTACAGAGTACAATTAACGGTTAAAACTCTACTCCTCTTGTCCAATCAGAATCGAGTAATTTTGTTGAGTCAGTGTGTTTGATTGACTATCTATGGGGGTGTAACAAACAGTTATGACTGGGTC